CCTCGCAAATAGAAGGGGAAGATATGGAGGCAGTGACAGATTTTACTTTCTTGGGCTCCATAATCACTGCAGATGGAGACAGCAGCCACGAAATTAAAAGATGCCTGCTTCTTGGGAGGAAAGCGATGACAAACCTTGACAGCATCTTAAAAAGCAGAGATATCACCTTGACAACAAAAGTCTGAATAGTCAAAGCTATGGTTTTTCCTGTCGTGATGTATGGAAGTGAGAGCTGGACCATAAAGAAAGCTGACCACCGAAGAATTGATGCCTTTGAATTGTGGTGCTGGAGGAGGCTCTTGAGAATCCCCTGGACTGCAAGGAGAACAAACCTATCAGTTCTAAAGGAAATCAACCCTGAGTGCTCACTGGAAGGACAGATCCTGAAGCTGAGGCTCCAGTACTTTGGCCATCTCATGAGAAGAGGGAAAGTGTGAAGGCAAGAGGAGAAGGGGACGACAGAGGATGAGATGGTTGGACAGTGTCACCGAAGCAACCAACATGAATCTGACCTATCTCCGGGAGGCAGTGGAAGATAGGAGGGCCTGGCGTGCTCTGGTCCATGGGGTTACGAAGAGTCGGACACGACTAAACGATGATGACGTCTCACAAACAGAGCCTTGATGTACATAAGCAATCTTATTAAAGGCTTAGCATCCTCTGAAATGGCCTATCCTTTTTTAAATAGACTATTGAAGCCAGGAGATCATAAAGTTTACAGGATGTCTTATTAACGATTCAAGGTCTGGATTATAAAAACTTTTTCTGTGTGTCAAGTCTGTAAGATTGGAAAAAAACTTTTTGGCATTTTGACATTATTTTGATTCCATGGAGAACCAGGGTATAAAGTTTGAATAAAAACACTGTAACTTTAGACTGTAGGAGAAGACAGCAGTCATTTCAAGTTGTAGGAACAATATATTTCTCTGTTTTTGTTGTTCTGTAATTATAAAACCCGTGTTGCCATTGCAGTGATTGCCAGCGACAAGATCCCCTAAGGGATTCTTGCTGCCCAAAGAGAGGGTCCAGGCGTATGTGCACTCCTAATTAGCTGAGCAGAGTCCGGGTGACCCAGTCAGGACATACACAAACCCCTTTCCACAAGTCTGTTCTTGTAAGTAATTAAGAGAGAAAAACAAAGATAAAATCATGAGTGTTGGAGTCTGTTAGGACGAACAAAGCTCAGGCAAAAAGGAATCTGTAGCATTCTGTGGCCTAACTATTATTCTGGAAGCAAGCTCAGCAGATTTGCTGTTCAAGAGACCAAACTTAGGATTTTAAGAATAATTGTTTTATTAGAAAAATAAAGTATTTAGAGATATTCAGTTTGTTGCATAAGCAAAGCATAAGTTAGATTTCCATAAGATACTGCAGTGAGAATCTTAACAAATTCCGTCTAGCAAAAATGAAATAAAAATCTAAAAAGCTGCTTGGTAGGCAGGCAAGGCATAGCCCCCCCCCCCCTCTATTCTCTCTCTAAACTACATCTTAGCAAAAACACTAAAAACTGGCATCTGGAACTCAATCCTCCATTCTAGTTCCTAATTCTAAGTTTAAGTTCTAAAGAACTCAAGTTCTCTCATTCTGTCCACATCCTCCATTTTCTTCCTTATTGACACTGCCCTTCTTCTTTGTTCTTCCAAGATATTAACCAATAGGCGTAAAGGACAGTCTCTTCTCATCATGCCTCCTTTTCCCATGAGAAGTACAGGTGTTGTTTTCCCATCTCCCTGTCTTGGGTCTTGATCCAAACAAGGGTGTTGTGTCTTGAGTCTTTATCATCTCAGGACAAGGCTGCTTACATGGAACTTTGCATTCACCTAGTGGAGAAAACATTCTCATGGCACAAAATCATGCTAACACAGAACCAATATGGATTCTTTCTACAACTTTCCACAACTACATATCCCATTCATAATTCACATTTTAACCTTAATTATACTATGACAGTGAGACAGGCAGGGTTTTGGTGCAGAGAACTAGGAACCAGACATTTTAGTGATTCCATTATTCTTTTAGTAACAGAAATAACAACGGGGAGGAGGTTTCCTTATGTCTTATGGACTTCATTTCAAATTGTTTTTAAATAATATTAGGAACTGAAGCACACACACACACACACATACATACATACATAAACATCAATATTCTAAACCAAACTAAAATTATAAAAATGAGCCTAGAGTGACAGGATTACATGTCCTGCCATCCGCACAGAGTGGGGTAAGCTATACAGTGCCAGAGCTACTACATAGGAAAGGCCTGGATTGTCATTTCTGAGTACATTATACTTCATAGACAGAAAACCTGAGGAGGATCACTTTGTCAGAACTGCCTTGGCAGCTCTTGTTTATTAATTATGAATAATATGAGTAAAAACAACCCTTTTACTATATTTATAAGAAAGACCTACATATTTCAGAAAGATCAGTAAGGAACCTGACATAAGACTCTTGCAGTCACTGGCTTGCAGAGGGCATACCTAACAACATTTTCCTTTTAGAAACGCTTTTTAAATTTTCTTCATATATGACATTATTCGAGCCTCCTGGCCTGGAGGAATGTGTGGCATTACATGGACAGGCTCTAGGAGCTATGATAGAACCAAGCTGATCTTTTCAAAGCCAGGTGAGACCCTATTTTTCCACACTTCATATTTCTCCAAAAGTCAATCTTGTCACAGATGGTCACTGGAGTTTGCAAACAGTGATATGGCTGGCTCTCTTGTTCCTTTTTATTGTCACAACCCTCTTGCAGGGCAGACTGAGAGAGGGAGAGACAGAATTACTGGCCCCAAGACTCCTAGATTAGTTGAGGCTAGAATTGTGTAGCATCTTATCTAAGTGTATAGGTGTACAATAATTATCCAGATAAGTTGCTAAATATGGTGATACAAAAGAGTGAAAAAAATTAAAGAAAAAAGCTATGAGGGAGCAGGCTGGGTAGGTGGGGCTTGTCAGCCTGGGAAGGCAGCCAATCTAGGAGAAGGAAAACTCCGATTTCAAACCTCCACTGCCTTGTGGCTATATCCACTGATGGAAAAGGCTTCAGGAGTTAACCCAAGGCAAAATCCGGAGCCGTAGTCCCAGAGGCAGTTTGTGTCATTCTTGTTTATTTGGAGGGGAGAGGAGGGGCTGGAAAAGCAATGTTGGCCTTATTTTGATTACCTGGAGAAAGGTATAAAAGGTTCTGTATAGAGGGTCCTACTCATCCATTCCTGGAGTCCAGAGCTGCTGCTGAGAACTGTTGAGAACTGCTGAGAACTTTGACTGAGAAGACATGGCTCAGGTAAGAATATTACAAATCTGACATCCTGTTTCAGAATAGTATAGTTTTTAATAACCATTAATTCTATGACCTTCTTTTCCAGAATTTCAACACTAAAGCCCAGATTCATTGTGATCCAGATGCTCAGCAGAAAGGTGAGAGAGTAACTGTTTTAAAACCTGTTAAATATGGATACAGTGGTGGCCCGCTTGACGATTACCTCATTAGACAAGGTAATCTCTTAATGATGAGTATTTTGCGATCGCTATAGCGACCGCAAAACCATGTTTTAATAGGAAAAAATTGCTTGACGATGGTCGGTTCCCTGCTTCGGGAAACAATTTTTCACTTTACGACAATCAAAACAGCTGATTGTCGGGTTTCAAAATGGCCACCCTCTGTTTCAAAATAGCTCTCCACTGTATTTAGGAAGGCTTTTTCGCTTTACAGGCACCGGGAAATGGCTGCCCTATGGAGGATCTTTGCTGGACGCTGAGGTATTTCGCCCATTGGAACGCATTGAACCGGTTTTCAGTGCATTTCAATGGGTTTTTTACTTTCGCTTGACGACGATCTTGTTCTACAGCGATTTTGCTGGAACGGATTGTCCTCATCAAGTGAGGCACCACTGTATTGTTCTTTTAAATTAAGGGTAGAATTATCACAGAGGACAGCGCTGAGCCTTCAAATATGTATTTTATTTTACTCCTAGACACAGAAAAAGCTTTTAGGAAATACAAGACCCATTAGCCACTTGTAAAATTTTGATCGTAGTGTCAAATCTTGCTGGAGAAACTTGTTTAACCCCTTTTCCTGTAACAGAGAGAGAGAGAAAGTGGTGTTTCTTTGCAGAAGAGGATCATAGCTGTAAAAAGGGCCTGTTTAGACAACAGTAATGTTGTTTTTACTTTAGATAAGGGCATAAAAATTTGTAGTGCTACATACCCAACCGCCGTTTTGAAGTAGTCACTCTGCATGTTGACTGTTGATGAAGATTGTGATACAGTTTGTAGGAGCATCTAGATCCTCGCTTGTTAAAGGTCTGTAGTCTTTCTGAAGCATCTTCGCCAGGCTACAGCCAAAAACAAGAATCATAATCATCCGTCCCTAGTTAATTTTGCCATCTTCAAATGCAGATTGCATTATTAATAGGAATGTTGAACGAGCTTCAGCCAGGCTAGAAATCTTGAGTTGACTTAAATGAACATTGATTTGAAGTTCAAAGTGAGTTTGAATCAAAGAGTCTATATTTTTTAAAAGAGGTCTCATTTCTGGTTTAGACCATGTAGGTTCAGGCTGTCCACAGCCGAGCTGAAGAAAGGTGCAGACAATAGAATGGGTCTGTTGCTTGAGGTTATCCATTTAGCAGTATAGGTCTAAAAACCAGGTGTCAATGTGCGGCATGGACTAATATGTGCTTTTCTTTACAATTGTCAGCTAGCCTAACATGTCCTTTGCCCCTGCAGGAGGTCAGTGCCATGAAAGCAGATTTCTGTCTCCTAGTTCTCTGTCTCCTGATTCTTTGGGTTGTTAGGGGGACAAGATGAAACCTTATTCTAACAAGTGATATTATGCTTTTTTCTCATTCATTATTTTCTACGAATATAGATTTTCCTAAGCACTGTATTGGCTATGTAATCTGTAATCAAAATACCTTGTAATCTTTGTACCTGAATCAGTGTGTTCCCAACATTTATCGAAGAAGTGTATGATTTTTCTAATAAGCTCTTTAACAAGCCCATGTAACTTTTCATGCTATAAGATTGCACTTCCTGCTGTAAGGCTCTTGCAGTCTCAGAAGGTATTCCTACATTCCTGCATACCACAGTCACCTTGATCCTCGCCAGACTAGCAATAAGAGAAATCAACACCCCAGTGAGATAACGTACAAGCCCCACTTGTAACAACAATACAAACCTCTGCCCTTCAAAAGCTGGGCAATTTTGGAGACAAATGGCCCACTATAGCCCTCTCTAGTCCCCTTTGGTATGTATAGGGAGGAAACCGCTATAGATATTTTGACACCACTAAGGAAAATTATAACTATTGAAGGCCATATACCGGGGCCCAGGAAAGAGTAACAACAACACCTTAATGAGATAAGAGGAACAGAGAAAATATCTCTTCAGACATTCAGGCAACATCCATGCACACCCTGGGTACATTCTGACCTTAGGTCAAGGGAACATGGGGGCACATACGAATATCCACGTATAACCAATGGTTGAAGTTAACGTATAGCCAATGGTTGGCATCTTTGGTACAATTAGAAGAAGGATCCAAACTTGGGGTTCAGGGAACCAATAAGGAATGTGTTGATTTATGGCTCTTTGTGTAGAAATATTATAAAATATCTATTCTCTTGTTGCCTGGGACCCAGTCCTATGCTTTTAAGAGGAAGGGTCCAACTGTACTTTTCAATAAAGATTGGCTTTGGTACCATCTGTTGATGCGTCTTAGCCTGCCTGTCTTCGCCGGAGATTCTGAACTCTAAATTTCAGAGGTAACAGGGTGAGTGACAATGCCCTAAGATATAACACATAATGCCTGTGGTTCAACTTTTTAAAATAGCGCAACTGATAGAGATATATTGTTTTTTAGAAAAATATTTCCAAGATGATTTTATTGAGCCCATGAAGATGCCTTCTCTTAGGCGCTATAAACCCAGGCCCGAGAAACCAATGACAACCAGGATTCAGCCCCGTGTCTTCACCTTTAAAAGAAAGAGCCATGACAATGGTGCGTTCTGTGCATTTTCATGACAGAGTTTTTGCAGGGTTGCTATTTTAACAGGGGGATTGAGACTTTTATATAAAATTAATTTACAGGTTTTCTTGAATCCTTTTAATGTGTGTGTGTGTGTGTGTGATAGAGAGAGAGAGAGAGAGTAGCACTGAGATGGACCTTTCACAAGTATTCTCTTTTCTTTTTTGGCTCAGCCTATGGGAAGTGCCCCCAAAAGATTCAAGGCTGGCGAAGGGTCAGGAAGCAACAATCCACTGAACCCTCAGGAATTGAAGGGTGCCAAGGCTGGTGAAGGGCCAGGCAACAAGAATCCAGCCAACCCTCAGGTGGTGAAGGGTAGGAAAAAGCAAGGGGTGTCTGAAAATGCCATCTGCTCAGGCGCTGTAGTCCCTATGGGGGGGCTTCTGTAAATAGCCCAACAACTGTTGAATAGTTTTAAAAAACTGAAATGATTGTTAACATGATCACTATTGCTAAAGAATGGGAAAAGAGACTGGAGCGGATAGTGGGAGACTTGCCTGATAGGGAAACAATCTGTGAAATGATTTTTAAAATTGATCATTTTTCTTGTGCAAAGTCATCTCGAATCCAAACAAGTCTGGGCTACCCTGATGTAAAACCTCCACCCAAAAGAGGTAAAATGAAAAGGGGGAGACCCAGCCAGCAGTCTGGAAAAAAGGGGGAAAAGCCTATCACAGGGAAGCTTTACTGGCGCAAAAGAGCTGTTAAATTGTTACATAAGTCTAAAAATGCTTTCACGTAGGAAAAGGGTCCCTGAGCCTCTGCCTTCTAGTTCTACACAGCAGGCCCAGAGTTCTCAGGATCCTGCAGGTCTTGATGACCAGGGGTCTCAAGAACACTCACAAGGCTCAGAAGCTCTGGCTCCTGAAAATAACTCAGTCCTTGATACAGAAACCCCACAAGTGTATGCAGAAGTGATAAATAGATGGGAATGGTCGCAGGAACGGTACAGAACACGTCACATTGCACAGGAGTTCCGATTTGTTAATTTAGAGCATATACATTCATATAGTGGGGTCTCGACTTACGAACGGTTCTACATACGAACTTTTCGACTTGCGAACCTGCCCAATAGAGAAATAACAACTCGACATACGAACTTCCCTTGAGTTACGAACAGGAAAAAAGTGCCCCTCCCTCCCCTTAGAGGCTTCTGGAGGGGAAAAAGCATCAGAAACTTAAAAATAAATAAAAGGAAGTCACTTACCAGGCCATGGTAGCCCCTAACTACCGGAAAAAGAGCAGGAAACAGCTAAAAGCCGGCACCCAGCAGGGAGCCTGGCAGCCATTTTGTGCTTTTCTCTGCTCCTGGCCCCTCCTCTCCCCGCCTGACAGCTGATCGGCTGGCTCTGAAGAGGCTTCGGGAGGCTTGCTCAGCACCCAAAAACTCTGCCTGTGTCTCTTTGTGCTGAAAAAAATCAGCACAACATGCTTTAAAACATCTCCCTTCGCGAATATATCTTTAAAACATGCTTTAAAATTGGCTTCGTTGAAAAAAAAGATTTCAGAAGTGCTTTTAAAACTGTTCCCTGCCTCCCCCTCCTTTGCTGAACATTTCTTGACCTAAGAAAAAAGAAGAAAATATCCCCCTCTAGTGGTAGAAGGTGGAATAACAGCTTCTCATTAGTTTCCCATTAGTTTCTAAAGGACGGAAAAGAGCAGATACAGATTAAATGGTTTTCAATGCATTCCTATGGGAAATGCAGATTCGACCTACGAACTTTTCGACCTACGAACCGCCTTCCAATATGGATTAAGTTCGTAAGTCGAGACCCCACTGTATACACAAGCTATAGCCGCCTTGCATGACGCAATGCAGCAAGTCCTTGATGGTGTTAATGAAAGCCTCGAAACTGGGGACTTTGTGCAGCTGAGATTTGAGGGCAGGAAATGAGGGTGCCTTTGTTTTCAGTGAAGAAAGTTAAAGGGGAGCTGGATGCTGAGGAATTCCTCTCTAATCTGAGCAACTTGTTACAGAACAACATGGAACTGTGCCTCGAGGGCACTTTGCGATTGGTTGTAACTACTATGAAACCTCCCCATGGGGGCAGTGATACTTCAAGAGCCTTGTGCTCTATCCCTCATAGTGAAATTATAAATAAAAAGGAAATATCTAGTAGATTAACCAATGTGAACAGTAAACTCTGCTTTGGGGAAGTCTGGCAGCTGCGATGACTGAAAAGGTCCCAAGATGTGGAGTTGACAAAATCAGTTCTGCAACTGTATCAATCCATCCACTGTCCTGTAGACAAAGGGGTCTCTCTGGCTGACATTCCTCTTTTTGAAAATCATTTACAGGTCAATCTTCAGATAGCCCTCTATGGGAACAAAGGCTGGGGTTTATTTAAATCACAAGGCATGATTGAGGTATCCACAACCATACACGTTATTTCTCCATGATAATCATTATTATGGGGTCCTCAACGTGAAAGCCCTTTTTGGTGCTAAAAACTACTGTCTGTTTTGCCACGGCTTGTACAAGGACTGTCATAACTGTTTATTTTTCTGCAGACTGCCTAAGAAAGGATTGTGTTTCTAAAGTAGATAACATAGAAATGTGTAAGCACTGCCAAATGAAGAGTGTTTAAAATTACACACCAAGCTGGCTGCAGAGAATAAGGTTTTGTGACAGGGGGAGACTGTAGACTTTAAACCAACAAAGAGGGTGTGGATCTGCGTGTGAAGGTTCATGTAGATGGGCTTCCCCTTTCTTGAATAAATCACCAGACTTATTGGAATCAAACGGATTTGTGTTGTTTATTAACTCAACCAACGTGGTATTAACATTAACATGATCTTTCCTCTGTATCTCTTGTTCAAGCAACGGCTCAGACCAGGGCAACGATAAGTTTTCTTCAAATGGATTAACAGTAGTAACATTCCAAGGCCCAGCAATCACCCATTCCGTTTCAACTGTCTCTAGTCCGGGGACATCCTGGTTTAAAAGCAGGAGGGTCTCTTCATTTAAAAGCTGGAGGGTTCCATCCACCCCCATAACAGGGTTCCTTCTCCTGATGAGTCACCTCAAGGTCCAGGAAGCACCCCATCTTCCTTAACTCCTCGAGATGCCATGCCTGGTGTGCCTCGTTTTCTGTGGCAATAGCTTCCTTCTCCTCTCTAAGCTTCCTTCTCCATTCACTTGTCTCAGACTCACCCCAATACGATGGTCTCTAGGGTAAACCTTTATGCCTCCTGTTCTCAGCTTCAGCCTTAGGCACGTGAACCTGTTCCCATTTCCAGGTCCATGGATCCTGCATCCAGACCGTTTCCCAACCACCTGGAATATTGTCCCAGGCTGTATTTATT